TAGAATCACAGAACAGTTGAAGTTGGCAAGATCTTTGGGTCACTCTGCTCCAACCTCTGCTCCAGCAAGGCCACCCAGAACAGTTGGTCCAGGCCTATGTTCAAGTCGCTTTGGAAGATCTCTCATTTGTAAGACACCTGTCTTATACATGAATTATCACCTGTAAAGTAGTTTACAGGGTGTCACTGAATAGATAGGTATGAAACAGACATGCATACATGCAGGTATTCATTGTAGGTAAGATGGGACAGTTTGCACTTGTGTTAAATCTATCATCATACGATAGATTTGGAAAGATATAGGGGAAGGAAAATTATCATAATATTCAATCTACTTAACAGTGGCAATGGGATTGTACAGTAGTGTCTGCATAGTTGAATACAGCAACACAAATGCTACCCTCCATTTATTCTGTGAAATTGTTGTCATATCTTACCATAAATATTCAGCACTTCAGACTTCCATACATCATAAGAAAAAGAAAAGCTGGTAGCTTACAGTGTACTGTAAGGACAGCTTTGAATTTGCAATGAATGAACTGCTGAGGTGCAGGCAGTATTTCTGGGGAGCAAGTTAACTGAATGACATACCCCTTCTGTAACAATTGATCTGCCACATATTTTAACATACTGTTCCTAGACACTCAAAAATATGCCATGGGCACTGGAGATACAGTGTTTTGCAAAACCTATGTGATCATGTTAGAAATTGGGCACAAAATCATCAAATTAGGGGAGAAGTTTTGTAATCGCCTTGTTAAAATAGATGTCAATAAGACACAAGGAAACAGTGATGTACAGAAATATTGAATGTAAAAAACTCAGTGTATTTTAAAATCATTTCAAAATCATTTTAACATATTTGTTTAAACAGTTAAGTATATAAAAAGTTTCTCTTTTTAATTTCTTCCTTGAAAAATTTAGTGATGTGAGTCTTACCTGCATTCATCCCAATTATATCATGTTTTTCTGTTCACAATATAGAAATTGTCTTTCAGTATGTCAGTTGAATCAGCCTTTTAGCTCATACTTTGTCATTTGTTTTATTAACCTCTCTCACTTTGTGGCCTTTTGATCAACTCCTCTTCTTCATTTTTTATGCATCCACTTCATTTCTCATTAGTGTCCATATCTCTGTTCTTACTTCACACATACAAGATTTTAATTTTCAGTTGTTTTAGACCTTTTTATTATATAGTAGTGTCACATCTGTGGCTCCACAAGGTCAGCAAGACCCAGCACTGATGCCTGATACCAGCTAACATGTAGCTAGGCTTTTCTGTTCAGTAGTGCAGCAATCTTTAATAAGTCTGGATGGTATGAAGAGATGTGTAGTGTAATACCCTGTTGTCTGGGTGCAATACTATCCCTGATCAAACTTCAGCAGTTCCAGGTAGGTGACTTCTCTCAGTCCTTTCCAAAGTGCCCCAGAACACAACAGCATCTCAAATAAGCAATGATCAATACACAGTATAAAGTTTTCTGTATGTTGAATAGTGGATGACGCAAACCTGTTCACTTACCAACATTATTTGATACAAAATATGTGTCATATATTGGTCACCTTCTAGTCTGATTGTCAGCATACCAACTGGAATGCTTTGGCTAGTGTAGGTGGTTTCCAGGTGCATTCAGGCTTGTTGTCAAAACTCCTCTTCCTTTTCACATTAGTGAATTCTTTAGGTTCACTGTATATATCACTCCAGCACTGTAATGATTCCAAGCCTTCTCATGCAGTTCATTCATTTATTTGCAATATACTACATTTGTTTCTAATGCAAATGCTTGCTCCTTTCAAGTCCGTGTCATTCTTCCTCTTACCTTGAAAATTCATAAATGAATCTCTTTTCTTCCTCTGTGTGTAAATTATGAGACATCAGAAAATTCTTTGCTAGCTACAGTAGTGTTCTTTCTAGTACACTTTTTACATCTATATGCTATCTTTTCATGTTAAGCATTTGGCTGACTTCTCAGTGTATTTTCTTTTTGTGATAAATAACTTGGGATTTTTTGTGCTAAGAAAAATCAAACTCAATTTTTGTCCAAGCACACTCATCAGTGCTGAGAAAATAGATGTATCTTGGGCCATTTTTGGATCAGCTGACTACTACTTGCAGTACTGTTCATCCAGTGAGTTTTTGAGTATTTCTCATGTGGAGGGTTTTTATAGCTATTTGAAAATTTAACAGCCTTAGCCTTTCCAGCTTTTTTGATGTTTTGGGAGTCCTTGTCCCTTTAAGTCTTTCACTAGAATTCTTTTACAGCTCCCCAGTATAATTATTCACATAATATTATGCTACAGTAGCTCAAGTCTGATTATTTAAGTGGCTGAGTAGGATGTTTCATGAAAAATGTCTTCTACAAGCATAGCTTTGTACTTGACATTTCTACTCATATATAAAAGCCATTAAACAAGACAGTAATTCTTCTCTTTCAGGCTCAATGCAGTTATCATGTGTGAGTAATCCTATTGACTACATAAGGACTTTCCATATCTGTCAAGATTGTAGGACTTGATTCCTGTCTTCCTATTTTGGAGACAATTTAAGCCCTGTTCAGCAGTAGCTGCTTGTGTCACAGAGCAGAATACATTTCCTGTGCTAAGTAGGTCCACACAACTTATTGCTCATCCCTCTCCACTGAAAACCAGAAACCCATCCTGTTTTGTCCTCCCCATCACTTTTTCTGCAAACCAACAAATGTCAGAACATACTGTGAATAAGAATGAATAGAACAACACAATGTGAATTTATATATTTTTTTAAGCGAATGCAAGAAATATGAGTTTGCTGCTATTCTAGTCACTTGCTTCGTTGTTTCAGTTACTGTAATAAAGGTTCAGAACTTTAATGAACTATTACATAAATAACAAGGGATTTCTTTACTTGGTATTACCCTTGGAAAATCTACAGATTAGTTTTAAAGTATCATTTGCAAGTATCTGCCAATTGTCTTGCTATTTGAAGTCTCTGGGCTTTTTTTTGGGGGGGTCTTCTGTCTGATTCACCCGAGGGGACTGTCATTTCTGTAAGCCATTCACTGTGTCAAGAGAAATGCTCATGGAAGTTAATAAACGTAAGAGAATTAGAGAAAACTTGCATTTCCCCAGTGATTTCTGGGTCTTCATTTCTTCTGCCCGTAAAGATTAAGGTTTTAGTATTTACCGTGCAAGTCTATCTTTATAAAAGGACATCTTGTTTTGATTATTTAGAACCTGGAGTCACAAAGGCTACCTCGTAATTAGATATATGTTGGTAGAAATGGAAAATGTATTGTAGTAGTCAGAATCGCCAGGGGAAGGTTTCTTATAAAAAGTCTATTGAATTTATTCATATGTGAAAAGAACAGTCAATATCTGAGATATGCGATGTCAATAAAAGTGAAATGTATTAACATACAGTCTATGTTACAGAGCATGGCCTTGCCAGTTAGAATATTTCAGCTTTGTTTCACAAAGCTACTGTGTGCTTTTAAAAACATAATCTCTACAGGAAAATACAATTAATCTCTTAAAAACAGAACTCCCCAGTCATAAGAATGAATAGTTTAATAAAAGGTGAAAGATAAGAGTTATATATATGTTTTAGATTGCATATTAGAAATGAAAGGTGAAATATGTGTAATGTTTTTCATCACTGTGAATGTGGATGTGGATGAGAGGATTGTTTTATGACATTCATGCTTGTGGGGATTCTCTGTCATCCCAATAGTGGCAAAATCCACCCAGCTGTCTGTTTGCTATTTTGGCTTGGATAAAAGATAGCATTATAAAAAGTGATAAGGTAGAGAAAATATGGCAGAAAATTATTCAATTAACTTGATACCCTGTTAATAAACATCTAGCTTACTGAAATACTTATCTGCACTAGCTTACTACCAAATCCTAGATCAGTGGCAAATAATGGAATTTTTATTTGCCAGTCAGTTCTTCAGGGATTGTACTATCTGCTTCCACTGCCACTAACAAACCAGCAATAATAATTCAGAAAGAAAATGCCTGCTGGGGAGATAATTATCCCTCAGGGGCTGTAGTGCTACACGTAGCATAATATCCAGTTTCATGTCTATTCTCTGATGAGAAAGTTCTACCAGAGGCTTTCTGCTTGCTGACAACGCGTTAGTAGAAATGTGTTCCTTTCATTGCCTTGCTCTAAAACTTCCAAGACATGTAGTGACACAAATTGCTGGAACAGTTGGATTGAACTTTCTTCAGTTTGTTACCTCCTTCCTATTCAGTGTATTCTCTTTGTATTCCTCTTCAAGGAATCAGTGAACAACATCAAAATCCCAAGAGCTGTCAATGCATTTACTTCATTAGAAACATCACTGTCTTCCTAGTGAAAAAAATCATGCTTATAAATTTTAAATGCCCCTTTTATGATTATCTGCTAACACTAACTTTAAACATCTCACTTGTTTTCTATACTGTTTGTGGAAAAGGATGAGTTAAAGTAATTCAAGTGAGTATGAAATGTTTATTCATAGAATGATAGTAAATTACCGCTGTGAGGCAAATTTTAGGAGTTTCAGATGCTCCTGTGAAAAAAGCAGATGTTTAACTCCCAGCAGTAGCTCTGTAGCTATTTACTTTTGTCTTTTTCTAGCCTGCACCTGTGAGACTGAAATGAAGAGTTTTGCTCACATTCAAATGTGAGTTGCTTCACATTTTGTACAAGTACTTCATTAAACACGTTACAGTCTCTTTCTTTCGCTGTTAGGTGGGTCTATTTAGTGATTAACAGAATTTGTTTATAGAAAGGGAATTTTAGAAGGCTGTCTACTGTGCCTTACATAGGTATCACCTTGCCTGTTTCTCAAAAAAGGGTCAATAAAGGTAAATGTTGTTTGCAGTAAAGGTAACTGAATGCGCCTGCATTCACTTGCGCACACACACAGTCGTAATATCTTCATTATTGTTTTTCCATGTATGTTGCCAATCTTTTCCATTTTTCAAGCACAGCATGATGATTCCTGTCATTCACTGTTTCACTTGCTCTTCAGGTCTCCTGTGATGGCTGGAGGTCTATTTGCCGTTAACCGGAAGTGGTTTTGGGAGCTGGGAGGCTATGATCCAGGATTAGAAATATGGGGAGGAGAGCAGTATGAAATCTCCTTTAAGGTAAGTCATCATGTCAGCTTATGTAATACTTCTTTACTTGTTAGGTTTTGTGCCTCTGGATTTTCATTTCTGTATGCTTTGTGATCCTGATAAGTTCACTAATACTCAATTTTGTGTTTTAACTACAAAGAATTTACTACAGTTCTTAAGGAATTTCCCCAAATTTCAAACAGAACTATGCCATAAACATATGCTTCAAAAACTATACAAAAATCACTGAGTGCAGTTTTCTCCAAGTGGTGGCAGTTTACCACCATCATTAAGCTTTACTTTGTCCCTTGTATCAAGTCTTCTCTACTTACCTTCCATCAGACATTGCACCTACTGAACTCCATCATGTTGAGGATAGGCCCCTATAGGGGGCCCTATAGGGTCAGCTCATGGAAAGAGAAAGTCATAGGAAGGAGAACCCTTTTCAGTACAATCACTAGATTACCTGAGTTCCTATGAGCTGTTATCAGCAGGCTGGGTTTTCAAAATCAGTTGATTTTTTTAATTGCATTTGGATAATTAAAATGGTAGAATTGTAATGTCAGAGAGTTTTCAAGTGCTGAGGTTATGTACAACCAGCAATCTTACATCCTCTATGTGGACCTGTGTATTCAAATCAGTTGTTTGGCTTTTAAATGCTGAGTTGAAAGTCTTGTTACCTTTTGCATGTCCGATAGGTATTTCCATTAGTTTAATGAGGACTAAATGCATAATTTTGAAAATTCATTTTCTTTGTTCCAGCTTACCCAAAATTAAGAACTTTACCTAATGGAAATGTTTTCAATTAGCTAATAGAATTTCATTATATAAATGAATTGAGTCAAACATGTATGGATAAAGTTTGGATTTTTAATCAGAATTCACATATAGCTTCAGGATCTTTCCATCCTACTTCCAAACTCCTACAGTGTAAAGCTCAGTAAATAAACTTAGTATGTCAGTCATGAATAATATTGTACATATTGCTCCATCTGAATTTCAGGAGTGATTAAAACAACCAAGCTACGGCCATTCTATTGAATGAAACATACATTATGATCCTACATTGGATTGCCAGATTGTCTTTATTATGAGAGTTATCAAAACTAGAAAAATTGTTTGTATTAACTGAACTACTCTCTAAATCATTTTTACACCACAGCAAAATAAAATTCTAAGGCAAGGGAAACCCAATAGTTAGAAATCATGTTTAGAATATATCAATTTACATTCTATCCAAATAAGTCATTTCAAAGTCAAATGTAAGTAGTCATTTGCAGCTATAACAAGAGTTTCTGACGGGTCACCTAAGATTTTATTATCCTGTTCCATATATTCTTTATATTTGTCTTCACAAAGGATATAATTGTAATGCAGTCCAGTCTTTGTATAGAAACCATGGTAACAGCACTAGAAACTGAGATACTAGAGTACCCCAGTATGTTTTGCTCAAGCAATAGATTTTTTTTGTAGCCAGCTGTGTCACACTGGGTCTCATTTCAGTCATATCTTCTGAATCATCTCGTTAGTACACACTAACCTTAGGGTCCCTGTCTTTTTTATTAGTATTAAAAAAGAAGGAAAAGGATTGCCTAATAGAAACAACTTTTTACTGGAAGAACTCAATCTATACAAGCTTCAGAAAAAAAGACTTGTTTTGTTTGGAAAGACAGAAAATGGAAGAAGAAATCAAGGGGGCAGGAGAGAGAAACAGACAGACTGTTTTGTTATATCAAAATCACCAGTATCAGCTTGGGTTGCTGCATCAACACTTTCTACATCAAGAGCTACAAATTCAGTCATCTTGAAACATTTTAAAGTGACAACAAATTATTCAGTTTAAATTACTATTCTATTTACAAACTTGAGAGATTGATGGACTTGCCATCTCTGTTATTCATAAAGTCAGTGAAGAAAACAGATGATCAACCTGTGTGAGACCTTTACTTGAGTGCATAGGAAACTACATCTTAGAGTTCCTTAGGACAACCAGTGGTATGTTTTGTGGAAGTGTTGTATCGTGAGTGCTTTGCATCCACACCATTATCTAGTACTAATGCTATTTTGTTTGGCAAATAATTTTTTGAAGCATACTGCTGCAATAACTCTCTCAAGAATATCTATAAACACCAGTTCCCAGTCATTTTTTCAGTTCAATTAGATCTTAAGTATTCTGTGAAAACATGTTTTTTCCATTAAAAGCTGCAGAAAGAAGCCAATTAGAATGTCCCATAACTATAGAAAGTTCATCTTCAAAGGACTATTTCAGGCTGGTCTTTAAACTCAGTGATGGACTTGGTGTTCTTTTCATGTTCTTTACGTCATCTTGTTTTTAACTTTGAGATTATTTTTTATGAATGTTGCTACATAACTGTAAACAAGCAAATGACCCAGCTACTATAAATGGATACTTATGTGATAATATGACCTTCCCTGTGTCAGACTTGGGATCCTTGTGATTAATTCAAATACAGTGACATAATTATGAGAGAGAGCATGACAGAGAGAGCTGTCACAGACTCCCTAGAAGGAAGTGATGTCTAGTTCACACTCAACTAACAGTTCTGTTCCATAAGCTGGAGGGAAGAGCATTCATGCACAGTTTTTGGTCCTCTACTCAGTGGTGAGTTTCAAACACCACTTCATGGACTAAGAAATTATTGTAACCCCTCTTTTTTAATGTTATAACAGTATATATACAAGTATACATATAACAAATCCTCAGGGGCTGGTGCTGGGAACAGTGCTTTTTAACATCTTAGTAGGCAACATGGATCGAATGCACTCTCAGCAAATTTGCAGATGACACCAAGCTGAGTGGTGCAGTTGACATATCAGAAGAATGGGATGCCTATCCAGAGGGACCTGGACAGGTTTGAGGGGTGGGCCTATGCCAGCTTCATGAAGTTCAACACAATCAAGTGCAAGGTCCAGCACCTGGATCAGGGCCATCCCAAGCACAAATACAGGCTGGGTAGAGAATTGAGAGCAGCCGTGCAGAGAAGGATTTGAGGGTGTCAGTTGATGAAAGACTCAACATGAGCCAGCAGTGTGCTCTTACATCCCAGAAGGCCAACCATATCCTGAGTTGCATCAAGAGAAACGTGACCAACTAGTCAAGGGATTCTGACCATCTATTCAGATCTTGTGAGACCCCAGCTGGAGTACTGCATCCAGTTTTGGAGCCTCCAACACAAGAAGGACATAAAGCTGTTGGAGAGGGTCTCCAAGAGGAGAGCCACAAAGATGATCAGAGGGTTGGAGCACCTACACTCCAAGGACAGTCTGAGAGAGCTGGAGCTCTTCAGCGTGTAGAAGAGAAGGCTTCAGGGAGATCTTATAGCAGCCTTCCAGTGCTTGAAGAGGGCCCACAAGAAAGCTGGGGAGGGACTCTTTAGAAGGGCATGTAGAGACAGGATGAGAAGAAATTGATTTAAACTTGAAGAGAGTAGATTTACATCAGATATAAGGAAGAAATTATTTACTGTGAGGGTGGTGAGACATTGGAACAGGTTGCCCAGAGTTGTTGTGGTTGCCCCCTCTCTGGAAGTATTCAAGGCCAGGCAGGATGGGGTTTTGAGCAACCTGATATAGTGGGAGGTGTCTTTGCCTGTAGCAGGGGGTAAACCCACATACCAAAGGGAAAAGATCACTTGATAATTAAGATCATATTTGGGAAAAGCATCTTTGCACCCAAAGATCTCTGTGTTATTGTACCACTGTTATCAACAGTCACCCCACAACCCATATGACAGAAGTGTTGGCTACAAAGCAGGTGTGTAGATGTGAGTGCAGAATATGGGCTTGGACAGCTGGAGAAGTTGGATCTTTGAGAAATGCAAAATGGCTAGATCAGTGCTAGTATCAAGTCTCGGTTAAATAGTCCTCAATTAAATAGCCTCAAGTCCTTTAATCTAAGGCTTCATCTACTTCTTCATCGCGATCTTAATATCAGCTACTCTGCTATGTGAATTAAAGGCTGGTACAAGAGTCATCAGGCACACACTAACACGAGCAAACCATATGGCTTTATGAGTTTAAGATGCTAAGGCAGAGATTGAAGACTGATTTAAAAAACTGTATAGTAAAATTATAACAGGACAAGTGGTTGAACTGGAAGTCAGGTTGCAGTTCATGACACAAAGAGGCTGAAATGCATTTAGGAAAGATTCTCCCTCTTGGAGGGACAGTGTCTGTATTGATGTTTCTCACTGGCTGTTTCATTAGATATGACCTGGGATAACAGGCACCAGGATTTGATGCAGAGCAGTCCTAACCAAAAGTCTTTTTCTGTGGGGGAAGTTGTGTTATCTCACTACATATGAACAGAAGGTTGAGGAAAAATCTGGTTTTGTGTGTTCAACAGAGTGAGAGTTTTTGTAAAGGAGCAAAAGATTCTACACAGAGTGAATCTACACTGAAGCTAAATTTACAGCACAGCAATTCAGTAAGTTTCTCCAAAGTACAGGAAGCCTTGTAATGTTTCTGTGATATTTGGAGCTATGCAGTAGCATGAAAGGAAACTTCCACAAACTTCAAACAAACTTCTATTCCAGGTGCTGAGTTGTTAAGAGCACAGCTTTCTGTTTTGTTTTGCTTAACAAAAAGGCTGCTTATTAAGTTTGCTTGACCTTTATTTCCTCAGGGAAACCAATGTATTTCTGTCTTGTTCTTGCCTAGTAACTTTGCTGTGGAGGATAGCAGCAATTGTAGAACTGGGTGCTGCATTGATGGACTGCTGTTTCCAAATCAAAGCATTCATGCACAAATCCATGGATGGTGAAGTAGTCACAACCTGTGTCTCAAAATATGACCCCTTCATTAAAAAGTTTCTTAGATTAATTTTTGCAAAAGAAATAATGTGCAGTATTTTAAAATTCTTTTGGCAGCATAACCTCAGGATCAATTTTTTAATTAAAAAGATGCATGGTGTCTTGCTGATGATACTGTTCAGGGTATGCTTAACTTGAGAAAACTGTCAAAGCACTGGAACTGACCTGATGAATAGTTTCCTTTCTCATTAACCAGGG